ATTTGTCTGATAAACCGGAATCGCCCAATTGGGGGGGTGGGGGGGGCGTTTAAGATATATGTTGACCCCCACTGGTCTTGCGTGTTGAAAGTCGGGTGTGGTGAAAGTATATGATAGCCGGAATCGCTAGATGAGGGGGGTGTTTATATATATATATATATATTGTGAATTTCAAAACAAAAGGATATGTATATATATATATATATGATAAACCGGAATCGCTCAATGGGCGGGGGTGTTTAAGATATATGATAACCGGTTTAAGTATATATGATAATCCGGACCCGCTCAATTGGGGGGGGGGGGGGTTTCATATATATATATATATATATATATATTTTTATTTATTTATTTTTTATTTATTTTATATATATATATATATATATATATATATTTTTGTTTATTTATTTACTTGTGTATTTAAATATTTATACTTGTTTATTTTTATGTGACGAACCTCACTGGTCTGCCGTGCTGAAAGTATATGATCGGCGGAATCGCCAGATGAGGGGCGTGTTTATATAGATAAATAATATATACACATATATATATATATGTATGTATGTATGTATGCATGCATGTATGTATGTATGGATGTATGTGTATATATATATATATGTATATATATATATATGTATATATATATGTATATATATATATATATATACATACATATACATGCTGAACCGGACTCGCCCAATCGGGGGGCGTGTTTAAGGTATATGATAGCCGGAATCGCCAAATAAGGGGCGTGTGTGAATTTAAAACAGTTATATATATATATAAATGTATATATATATATATATATATATATATATAATTACATGATAAACCGGAATCGCTCAGTGGGGGGGGGGTTAAGATATATATGATATCCGGAATCGCCAAAGGAGGGGCGCGTTTAAATACTTGTTTAAGCGGAATCGCCCAATGGGGGAGTGTTGAAGATATTTGATGAACCCCACCGGTCTGGCGTGCCGTGTTTAAGGTATATGATAGCCGGAATCGCCAAATGAGGGGCGTGTGTGAATTTCAGAACAAAAAGATATATATATATATATATATATATGTATATATATATATATATATATAAATATTTAATATGATAAACCGGAATCGCTCAGTGGGGGGGGGGGTTAAGATATATGATACCCGGAATCGCCACAGCGACCCCACAAGAGTCCAAAACCCAAAAGCCTAAACCGCTGCTGAGGAAAGACTTCCACGAGCCCGAAGGGCAAAGCGTGGCAGGATTTGTGAGAGAGGTGCTGAAAAGCCCGCGGTTTGAGGATTGTACTACCCCTAGAGGAACAGGCAGGCGGGAAAAAAATTCAAAAAAAAACGGACAAAAAATACAGAAAAAAACACACGACCGGTCTTCTCCCTTCCGTCTGCTGCTTTTGAGGCATCGGTCCTCTTCCGTTTTAAAGCTGAGTTTGCCTCGCTTCCTCGGTTGCTGTGTCCGAGCCTAACGTGCAAATTTGAGTCACCAGTTTTGTAAAGTGTCGGTCAGTGCGAGGTGCGCCGTTCCACCATATACCGACTGCCAAGAGAATGCTGGAAGAGTTCCCGACGTGGAAGGACATTGACGAATTTGCTGCATGTCCGAGGTGTCAGGATCTCATTCAATATCATTCCATCACTTGTTGCATCTTGTTGCTGCGACATAAAAGTCGAGACATGTGTTGGGAATCTCTTGCAGCCCCCAAAGATCCCGCTGGAATCGTGGCCATGCTTCCTGCAGAGGTGTGAGCACGTCCGAAAGCATCCTTCTGAGACGGCGCACATGCGAAGCGAACCAACAGCAGACCCTAGCAACGGAATATCCCTAAACTAGAGGTGGCGATGTTGACATTCGTAAATGCCAACCAAGAACGGGCTCCACGGTGTGTCCCAGCAGGGGCACCGATGACCGGCTCATGAGTTCTCGTTGTGCGAATGCTGCGAGAATCTGAAGGACCAGGACCACAACCAGGCCTGACCGCTCCCTGCCATTCAGATAGTCGTGCCACAACTTGTGCCTTTTCTGATTTTGCAGGCCTTTCGACTTGTGGGGCTGTGTGATGCGCTCAGCCATCATCAGACTTGCCGGTGGCAGCTGGTGTCATCTGTCAGCCACAGGTGGAACCTCATCACTTCTGGCACATGACTCGGAGGCGCCAGCCAAGCCTGAAGCTTAGGCTGCGCCGGCTGTGCGCAAAGGCGCCCCTCCGTCGCAAGCGGCTCGGCTCGGCAGGTCAGTCTTCTTGGCCGGGTACAGCGTCGGCCCTCTGAAGGTGGGCTGCATCATTGCAGCTGCCTTTCGCAGCCATGCAGCCGTCCCCGTGCGAGAGGGCGTGCTGGAGAAACTGCTGACCAGCTGCGGCGTCCCTTCGGCCAAGATCAAGGCAGATGGCACAGTTGCTGCTTCGACCAATATAATGCCATACAGACCTTCGTTGACGACAGCCCGGAATAGCGCAACTCAGGGGGTGGACAGATGGCACCTTCTAGCGCCAAGCTACGACAGCTACGACAAACTAGGAGGATGATGTCAGGCAAGACCCTTGGCTACAAAGCCGCCGAACACCAGCAGGGTCGCAGCATTGTAGGTTCCGCTGGAAGTCCAAAAAGGAACACTTTGACACCATGTCTGACTTACCCTGCGGAGAGTCCAGATCGACAGTGAAGACTGCAGAGGGCCCAGGCGACAAAAGGCCAGCACTCAAAAACGGAGCTGACCGGTCAACTGCACAACGCACCAAACAGCCGCTGATACAACATCGCCAAGAGGAAGTGCAGGCAGCTCGTGATCCTGCATGTGACTGGCCCCAACTCACCCCGGCGACACCCCACCCACCACCACCCACCGGGTGTCGGGATCCTCTCTTTAAGCCATTTTTTTCAGTAGGCTACCATTCCATAGTGGGGTACAACGTGTCACCCTCTGTGACATCTTGTCGTTTCTCCGGCGTCTCTCTTGTTTTCAGTGCTTACTGCTCTTGACGCGCTCATGCCAGAAACTGGCCGCTGACATCATCGCACTTGCAGTGAAGCTTTGGTCTCGGCTTCCTAAGCTCTTGCAGTGACTTGATGTGATCACTGCGCGAGGTCAGGTCTCGACTGTAGTGGCATACCCGGTGGCAAGAAATGCAAGCCTTGGTGCTTACTTTGCAAGTTTCCAAGCTTCGCATTGTTGTAAAGCTCTGTCAGTGACCTGCTATCAAGGTCAGGACGATCAGGCCACATGTTGCAGATCTTCCTGAGGAGACTTTGCGATCTGAAGGAAAGCCTCCGTGAACCGTTGCCTTCCATCGTCGTACTCGCGGAGTAGATGGCTTCTTTCTAATACTCCCTCAAGAGGATTGCAGAAGAATCCACTCCTCGACTCAGGGTTCCTGGAGGGCTTTAGATCACCTGATTGGGAGTCCACCGACTGAGCACACATCTGCAGCAGGAGGGAGCTTTGTGACGAGTACGCGCGCGACTTTGGAGCTCCAGTTTCGCATCAGTCGTTGTAGAAGACAAATTCGTGGGTCACTGTGAACTGGGTCCAGGTCTATCCATCCTTTCCGTTTGGAGTGCCTGACAAGAAGCGGATGAAGCCATCGTTGAGCAAGTACTTGACCGAGGACCAGCTGCGTCGCAGAAAGTGCCTGAATAACCAGCTCACGACTTCTGTGGTGCACAGGATGTCAAAATCGAAGGTCAAGTTCGCATCACGTTGAATCCGGATGTTTTCTTAAGAGCTGCGCACCGAGCTTCACTGAGCCGCCGAGCCCAAAGAGTAGATGCATTCAGTGAGTGCAGTCAAGGCCACAACGGCGAGGATGTTTACCTTCCCGGCGGTGCGCCGGGCACACCACCACATCACCCCACTTTCAGATCTGAACAGTTGCCAGGATCCGACATTTCACAAGCCGGGGTGCCCAAAGCCAAAGCATGCAATATTGGCTTCGTTTTGGTCGCTTCAGGAATCGGCCTGACTTCCAAGACAAGCTGAAGTGGCCTGTCAGAAATGGCTGTGTCCTCTCAAGCGAGTGGGAGTGTGAAAGACAATTCTGGGACTGGGACCCGAGACCGGGGGTTTGGCCAGAGGCAGTCTGCGAATGGCGGTCCTTTGACACGCAAGCAACGAAGACCAGTCACTCGAAAAGTAAGTCACCACTCCGCGAATGCTTTTTGAAACAGTGACCTATAGATGCCACTGCGGGACACTTGCGAGTATGTGCAATTTCCTGGGGCAGATCTTAACACGGCGTGCCAAGGGGGATGGCTGAACGCTCAATCTCCAGCAAAATGTGGCAAGTGTGCCCCATACGGAATAAAGGAATGCTTGTTTAGCCAGGGTGTGTGGAAGCAAAAGAGATCGAGGTCGCTCCTTGAGCCTATCCTTGGGACAGAGGCCGTCCGCCTAAAAGCAGCGCGGCATCTCAGATCCGGAACCGTCGCAGAAATCGCCGGCTGGGAGTCTCTGCTAATACTGTTGACCGAGGCCAAAGGCATCTTTGGAGGCGACCCACCAGATTGGTGGTCTTCGGAGGAGCGCAAGATCGCTGCTGTTCAGTCATTGCGTGTTTGCAACTTTTGCAGGATCAAAGTGACATGGCCAAAATGTCGAAAGGCCGTTATGCATCCTCATCCTTAGACTGACAATGGGCGTCTTCGTAGGCGGCGTTAGTAGGAACAGGGGCCGAGCAGTGACCGACAAGCATAGATTGAGTGCCAGAGTTCTTTCGTCCGAGATGTCCCAACGTTCCCGCCAACGTCTCGTTTTCAACTTAGGATTGGGCTTAAGACAAGTCCATCTCGGAGCCAGTGCGAGCAAGTTGCATTGCCCGAGTGGATCGCGGTTAGAGGCACAAGCTTCAACGCAGCGTTCCTATGTCTTCTGTTCGACCTTCCTTGCGGAGTGGAACAAAAGGAACACAGTGCACTTGACACACTCTGTTGGATGGTAGGGCAAATGCTAGAGTCTGCTAGAGCCTACTTCCTGTCGCTGTTTCCGTCAAGCTGCTGCCATGGCTGGCTACGGGGTCAGTCTTCACGGTCTGGGTCGTGTGTGCGGCGGACAAGCCGAGAGCCCGCAGACAGAGAAAGATGTCGATCCGGCGAACTTCCAGCAACTCCTACGCCAGTTGCGGGATCAGTCGGTAATGCAAGGCGACGTTGCCGCGTTGAGGCAGGAGATGCTGACCCTGAAAATGGTGGTGAGCACAGCCAAAACCGAGATGACCGTCTTGATTGAGCAGGAGGTTGGAGAGGCCATTGCAAAGGAACGTGCAGAACGAGAGCGCGCTGAGCGACTCATGGATGAAAGAGTTGCAGCCAATGTGCAGCAATCCCAGATCCAACAGGAGGAGGTGGAGAAGCTCCAAGGCCAGGAAAGATCCGCGACTTCAAACACTTGCACCTGTCGATGCAGTGAGAGTTGCTGAGCGGCAGAGTTCTCACCGTCAGTTGGAGGCCGGCTGGAGTCAACTGCGAAGGCCGTGCAAGCGACCCTCGAGAAGCTGACGAAGGAAGCCACGGAGGCCGCACGAGACGGCCAGGCCAGGGTCGGCTTAGGGGCTTGCGCAGACCATCGCTCGGAAGAGTCTCCGTAATGCAGGTCTTGCAGCACAAGCTGCAGAGGCTCGAGGACAAAGAAGGCCATTTCGGCCGCACGTCTCGGATGGCCCGTGACCGCGGTGACCATGACCATCAGGTAGAGACATGACGCAGATAAAGCAGGCAAGGCCCCGGCCCGGGATGCCCGGGTCCGTCCGTAACTCTTGGGCTCCGCCGGCTTGATGCGCACACGTTTGGGGGCAGGACATGAACTTGCAAACGCAGAGTCTGCAGGCGACGAAGGTGCCAAGTCAGAGCTCCCACCCTGCGCGTTTCACATGTTCTCTCTCCATGCAGGTGCAGCTAGAGCACCTTGTGCAAGAGACCTGCCAGCAGTTTCAGGCAGGTGCCAACATCGGTCCTAGATGAGTCAGCAAACGTCGAGTCGACGCGGAGTCGTAGAGTCATCAGGCCGAGCAGGGTCAGGAGCTTCTGGAGGCGGAAGAGATCGGACTTTCACTTTGCTGCAAGCGATGGATCCCATGACTCGTCTGTTGCAGGTCAATAGTAAGTATGACACCTTGCACAAGGCTGCATTCCTTTACTGTCAGCAAGCAGTGGCTGCTAGTTTGTTGGAGGCATCAGCTGCAGTTCTCGCATTGCTTCTTTGCCTGGTCGAAGGCAATCTGGGGTCGTCTTGCTGTGCAGAGCCGGCAGATGAAGGTCCTCGGCTCGCTCCGCTTTCCACTCTTCAGATAGCTGCCCTTGTCTCTCTTGCAGGAGACGACACACCTGGGGCAGACCTGGCAAGATTTGACACTCCCTCCAAACCCATCCAAACCCCCTGCTTGTTGTTGAACGGAGCTCAGCCGAATGTTCGTGTGCTTCATTCGTGCAGCTGTTCAGTTGCAGGATACCATTCAAAGGTTTATACAAGTTTAGCATGCCCGAGAAAGGATGCAGCCAGAGTCTGCGACTTCAAAGGCTTTGGGAGGATCTGAACCAGCTGGCTGGGCAAGTTCAAGATTTGGTGAGCAAGCAGGAGGCCACTTGTAATTCAGTTGGCAGCAGTGGCGTAAGTTCGCGTCTCAGGGCAGCGCGAAACTTGGGGAGGAGCAGGCCAGGTTCTCGAGAAAGGATAGCACAATCATCGATCGACTCGTTCAGGGTCGCTTGTTGGACGAGCTCCAGCATTCGCATGATGGATTGGAGAAGAGGACTCGTGTGGCTTCATGCGGCCGTTTTCGGCTGAAGCTTCCGCTGACAATTTCGATCTACCCTTTTTCAGCAGTTCGACTTGACTTGTCAAGACCTGATGGCCATAGGACCAGCGAATTGATGTGCGCTGCTCAGTACTTTTGTTGCGTGTTAAGAGCCGTGGGTGAGGCAGAAAATGTAGCAGACAATGGAAACAGATGCAAAGCAGAACACCAGATGACTAGATTGCTGCATTTCAGGGACCGATTGGCCGCTGCCGAGCAGAAGCATGCCTTGCTAGAGGCGCAGGATTTTGAGACCTGGCGGCGGCTGGAGGTTGTTTGCCATTGCAGTGGACAGGAGTCGTCCAGTCAGGGTGATACAAAGGCTCGCCTGTTGCCGCTACTGTTTCGGCAATTGCACCTCACGTCGGTTTGTCAGACGAACGAGGTTTTGCAACTGAGCGACAAGATGACTCAAATGGCACAGGCCAGCATGGTCGGTGGGGCGGAGTGAAGACCAACTACTTTGCTTGCATGCTTTTACTGACTCACATTCAAGCAGGTTTCAGAGAAGCTGTTACATGATGCACAAGCTGCAGCCATTGCATCCGCCGCAGCCGGTCGGGCACTTTGGCTTTGCCCTGATTGACCCTTGGTTTCCGTGTCCTGAGCAACTTGCAACTCGAGGTAGTCAGGTGCACGCGCTTGAGACATGGCAAGCCGAGGATCCCAATTTCCTTCCATCTGGCGAAATGTAGGCATGTGTTCGGTATTCAGCGCTGTCAGGCACAACTGAAGCTGGGCTCATTGGAAAGGGCTGCTGCCGAAGTGAGAGAAACGTGCTCTCAGGCGGGATTTGGCTTTCGGTCCAGAAATACTTGGGTGGCGACTGCCATAAGTGGTTGATTCAATCTTTCCACAATGGTTGCTGTTGATGGGTTGCTCTCTCATGCTCATCTTCAGTCATGCTGACATGCATCGTTGTGGCAGTGTAGTGACCTGAACTTGCAATTCGAGTAATCGTGACTGAAAAATGTTTGCGACTGGCACCCGGAGCCAGCACAGGAATCGGAGCAAACACACAATCGGAACGAGCGCGAAAACACTGCCCATCACCAGCCGAGAAGCCGGCAGCACATGGGACGAGCCAGCAGACCGGCGCCGCAGAAACCAACAGGTGTGGCGCTCGTGACACTTGTGGTTAATTGCGGCACCCAGCGATGCAGCCAGAGCGGCAGCAACACCCTCGACAAATGCCACAAGCTTGCCCGCCACCGCCAGGGGCAGCTGCCCATCCTATCAAACATGCCCAGGCCGAAGCAGCAAGGCAGGCCATCCGCCATCCAGCGCAACAGCAGACACAGAGACAGAGGACGAGTTTCGGAGTGGAATGCGCGAGACAGACCCACACAAAGCGGAAATGGAGGACGAGCAGGAAAAGCTTCAGAGGTGTAGTGCAAGCACAGGGGCTCCCAAAAACCCACAGGAGGAGACGTGAAAAGAATTTGAATGTTGGGTGGGATAGGTGGGATCAATGGCGAAGACGATCAAACAATGTGGCAGCTGCACAGGAGGCTCAGAGAGGCTTGCAAAAGCCAGAACCACAGACGGCCCGTGCCAAACTAAACAGAGCAGCACTGACTGATCGGACAAATCACCGCAACAGCGGCTGAAGAACAGAGGGGTGGGGGGCGGGTGGGCACAGCGCATCTCTCAAGCTTGATCTAGTCTAAATAGAACAAGACCAAGGCGGATTAGAGAAAGACGAATAAGGAGGGGACATACTTAAAGATGGAGAGTGAAAGAGAGAGAGAGAGAGAGAGAGAGAGCACCCTGTAACAACGTTTCACACAAGACTCGAACAGTGGCGTAGCGCTCGCGCGCAGGGGCACCAGGGGCTTACCCCACACGCCTTGCAAGCAAGCAAGCAAGCAAGCAAGCAATCAAGCAAGAGAGAGAGAGAGAGAGAGATTAGGTACCGTAGCCATTTTGGCTCAAGTCGCTCGCCTGCCTGCTCCTCGGAGCGGGTCGCTTTTCGGCCGGCCCCTCGAGACCACAGAGGGTTATCTCTGTGGGCTTGGGGGGTGGACGTGCCGAGGGCGGGGGGTGGCTTGAGGCCTTTCGCCGTAACATGTCGGGCTCTCAAGTGCCCAAAGGGTCGCGAAGACCTCTCCTGAAACCGGCCCTCTCCGGAGGTGGCCCGGTAGTAGGGAGGGGCAACATGCCACTTGATGGAGGAACTCAGAGTGAAGACGCGACACCAGGGGGAGAACCACATCGTTCAAAAGGGCAACAGCGAGATCAAGCTGCTCGACCACCTCTCCCTCGCAGGCGACCTCAACCAGACGCTAAAGAGGGACTAGACTGGACGGGGGACACGAAGCCCGGCATGAACGTGATAGTGGCAGGGACACCGAGAAGGCAAAGGACACCCGTGGCCGACGACGACCCAGACACAGGTGCAGCACCGCGGAGGCACAGGACACCAAGTGCCAACGACGACCCAGGACCAAAGGACGACGACACAGCTGCAGCACCTCGAAGGCACAGGTGAGAGAAGTGAGCGCCGACTACAAAGGCGAGGCACCAGTGGCTACAAGTTTTGGGACATATGTCTGATGTACACCCATGCAACTCGCCGGGGACACCCGGATCCGTGAACAACACCTCTGCCACCGGTGGAAAAAGTGAACGCGACACTCTGAAGCCATCTAACTTACCTTTTTAATTTGTGTTGAGGGGCACCCGCTCATTTCCATGAACCCTAGAATGGTGTGCCAACAGCTTGCATAAGACTTGCATGGCCGTTAATTCAAGCACGTTTTTCCCCTCGTACACACAGCCTTTTACATACCAGATTCTTAAAAGTGCCGGTGCGAGCAAACAAACACCCCATACGGGGAACACAGTTTCGGAGCACCCTTTGCTATGTAAGTCAGTCCTGTATAGACCGAGCCCATCCTTTCCAAATGATGGATGGGGTAGCGCACTCGCGCGGGACGGGGGGACTGCTCCCGTCTCAAACCCCGAGCAAAGCAAAGCAAAGATTAGGTACCTCTAGGCTTCGTGTTTGTTTCGGGGCATGGCAAGTCGGGGCAGGTACGAGCCGTAGCAGTGCCCCTCGTACTGTGATCTGCGCCATACTGCAACTTTCTGTTTTGTGTTGTGTGTGTGAACAAAGGGGCGAGATCTAGGCATGTTCGGTTACGAGGCCCTGTACACCGTGATGTGCATTGTACTCGAGATGATGCTTTGTTTTCATTCCCGACGGGGCAGAGTAACTAACCACGGGGAGGCCCTGCCAGGTAGCTCGTTGTCAGGGCCCTGCTTTGTAGCCAGCCTCCGCCGCTGCAAACCACTGCCTCGTACACACAAAGGGCAACTCAGCAAGCCTAGCAGAACACCTGCCATACGAGAGCAGGCAACGGGGCATGAGCAGTCTTATGATGTATGCTATGGTTGTCTGAAGTCGCTTAATACCCTGCCGTCTTTCTAGGGATAATCGTGCTCAGCCCGCGGGGTGCTTGAACCTTTGCTCCACGTAAAACCGTGCACACCTCCAACAGCACAGGCTGCCCCAGCGGGGGCATGCTCTCAAGCCTGGAGAAAGAAAGAAAGAAAGAGAGAGAGAAATTCCCTTCGAGCAAGACTGCTTCTCTTCATTGATGTGCAAGGCCGTCCAGCTAAAAGCGCACACGCAGGAGCAGGACCCTGGCCAAGACGTTCTCAGCGTAATATTTTTCCAACAATCAGGGTGGATGTCAACTCTTCAAACAAACAGGAGATCTCGACGCCTGTGGAAGTTCTAGTGGAGTTTCGACATGGTGCAGGAGCGCTGGCACGATCGCTTCGCTGACTGCCTGCAGCGCCTTGCAAGCGCGGACCTGTGAATTGAGCACCGGATTCGAAGCCTCGGGCCGGGGGCCCTTCCTCCGCTGCAGGTCTGGAGACCCAGGCAGTGTCCATAGGTCAAGACAGGAAGGCCAGAGCCTAGAGCCATGCAGAGCCATGGCCATTGGTTGGCTTCGTGTTCGCTCCAGGCGTGTGATGAGGACCTGCGGAGAATCCAAGCACAGAGCAGGACCATTGCTCCTGCCCAAGAGCACGGCACGGTGACGGCTCAAGTCATCAGGATCCTGGAGACTTCTCTGGAGCAAGCTGCACAGGCTGATGCCCAGACCTTGATGGAGAAACGGGATTTTGATAGAAACCACGACGAGCGACTGTTGGCTCCTAGGCACGACAAGCAGAGCTCCAAAGCCGGCTGGAGGAGAGGTGCGGTGCCATGGATCTGCGCCAATCTTCCATGTTCGCGGCTCAGTTTCATCTCACTTGCGTGTGAGCACAGACATGTTCTTCGCAGCATTCGTATGTAGCGGACACAGACGACTCAAATGTGTTACGAAGTCCTTCTGTCAAGGCGACCGCTGCAGTTAGCAGCTAGATGGCGTTCGTGCAGCAATCTATAGGCGATGGGATATCTTCGGCGAAATGTAGAGGGAATCCTAATTATTTGAGGAATTTATTTTGTTTTTTTTGGTGTTTTTTTTTGTTTTTCGCTTTTGCTTATTCGGCTTTTGGGCGTTGGCCTGTTGTTTTCTGCCTTTGCTTTTTATTGGTTTTGCTTTTTGCTTTTGCTTTCTGCTTCTCGGCTTTTTGGCTTTCCTTCTGGTTTGTTGTCGTCTTTTGGCTTATTGGTTTATGGGATTTCCTTCCTGGTTTGCTGTCTTGTTGGCCTTCTTTGCGTCAACACTAATTGGCTTCCTGGCTTCTCGACCTGGCCTGGCCTCCTGACTTCTTCACAAGAAGGCAAGGACACAAGGAAGGAAGGAAGGAAGGAAAGGAAGCAAGGAAAAAGGATCGAAGGAAGAAAAGAAAGAAACAAAGCAAGAAGGGAGGAAAGGAAGGAATGAAGGAAGCAAGGACGAAAAGACAGAAGGAAGAAAGGAGGGTCGGTAGTATGTCAGTATATAAATTAAATATAGAGTATATATATATATATATATATATATGGTCCCCCCCCCCCCAAGATCTACATCCGCCTCTTCCACACAATTCCACAGGTTGCTTCTCTACATTGGTCGACTACTCATATATGCCGAAAACACCGTAAATTCCGATACAATTGTGCTTTACTCCATGTGCATGCAAACAGTACTGCTACAAGTCGCGGGTTTGATATGTGTAAAAGTCTGGCGCCGAATTTCGGCAGCAGATTTATGGTAGTTTATATGTTGGAGAAGCTGAAATGCTGGAGGGCGTGCTATTTTTGTTCAGGTAGTACTAAAAAACCTCGTGTTTTTTGCGTTTTATGGTGTGTTATTTAACGACATTCCTCTAATAATAAAAATACTGTTGTCTTTCTTACGAGAACGTCTGTGTGCGTGGGCCATCTCTTTCCCGCTGCTCGTGAGCGTCCGATTCTGATGCGGCCTCATAGCTCTAGCATTTGATTTATGAGTTACGAAACACAAAGAGCTCCTTTCATGTCCTGTCCGTTATACACGGAGGAAGTCGAATATACGGTCGCATTTATTTTTGAAGCAATACTCCAATAGTTGTTCTTTGCCTCATAAAAAATGGGAAAGCCCCCCTGGAGTTGGAAAGTTCATGTGCATATGCGGGCGCACAAGAAGGCTCGTCTGCAGCAATAAGTAAGAGAGCTCTTGCAACCTTCCAAACATGGAGCAGGACTAACTACGACTGGCTGCATTGATACGTATCAATCACAAGGCAGGGGCTCCTTAACCTTGTAAAACAAAGTAAAATGGCACTTCATGGAGGGCCATGAGTTTTCATTCGGTTAACTCTTATTAATGATGCTGTCCTATACCCCGCAGAAGATGCCGATCGCTATGTCCATGGCTGTTTCTCTAATTGCTGTCATAGAACGTAGCGGAAAAAGTAGCTCTCTTCAATCTTCAAGCGACACTCCCCAGATGTGATCAAGAAACAAAGAGAAGCTTGCTTACTGGTATCTTTTATTAAACGGGCAAGAGGCATAAGACTTGTATCGGTTTCTACACCTCCCTCACATCCTGACAAAGCGATACCGGTCCTTCTGTATGTGACTGTGGTTTAAACGCTGTCATAGTTCGTATCACAACATGAAAAAGAGCTCTCTTCAGTCTTCAAAGACTACAGGTGACATCGTAGAATTCTCTTCTGGGTTAGCAGGAATCTTCATGTCTCTTGCTTGATAGGTATGAGGATGTCTCATAGGAAACCGAATAGGAAGTCTCCATTGTTTCTGATGATAGCAAGATGCAAACAGTTTCCCACAGTCTTCAACATGAAATGAATTAAGTTCTAGATAGGCTTGCGCTGCTACAGTGATGGATCTGTAGGCGGTGCAGCTTGCCGAAGAATGGCCAAAACCATTTTCGAGAAAGCTCAGGTACTGGAGCCAGTGCTGCTGGTGCCATAGATCTACCAACCAACGAAAACATATATGAAATAAACTCTGCAACGACTAGGCCTTTTTCATACTTACCTAACAAGAGCAATGAAAACCGTTGTTGTTCCAGAAGACACATAAATCATTACTTCCAGTCCTTGACAACGGTTGAAAGCACACAATTATCTTGTGATGCAATATATCCTGTCCTGGACATCAGAAAACACTGTGATGCTCAAAAAACTTCCAAAATTTCCAGCCCTGAAACTCACGAAACACTGTATTGTTTTTTTTGTGATTTTTTTGTTTTTCGCTTTTGCTTATTCGGCTTTTGGGCGTTGGCCTGTTGTTTTCTGCCTTTGCTTTTTACTGGTTTTGCTTTTTGCTTTTGCTTTCTGCTTCTCGGCTTTTTGGCTTTCCTTGCTGGTTTGTTGTCGTCTTTTGGCTTCTTGGTTTATGGGATTTCCTTCCTGGTTTGCTGTCTTGTTGGCCTTCTTTGCGTCAACACTAATTGGCTTCCTGGCTTCTCGACCTGGCCTGGCCTCCTGACTTCTTCACAAGAAGGCAAGGACACAAGGAAGGAAGGAAGGAAGGAAAGGAAGCAAGGAAAAAGGATCGAAGGAAGAAAAGAAAGAAACAAAGCAAGAAGGGAGGAAAGGAAGGAATGAAGGAAGCAAGGACGAAAAGAAAGAAGGAAGAAAGGAGGGTCGGTAGTATGTCAGTATATAAATTAAATATAGAGTATATATATATATATATGGTCACCCCCCCCCAAGATCTACATCCGCCTCTTCCACACAATTCCACAGGTTGCTTCTCTACATTGGTCGACTACTCATATATGCCGAAAACACCGTAAATTCCGATACAATTGTGCTTTACTCCATGTGCATGCAAACAGTACTGCTACAAGTCGCGGGTTTGATATGTGTAAAAGTCTGGCGCCGAATTTCGGCAGCAGATTTATGGTAGTTTATATGTTGGAGAAGCTGAAATGCTGGAGGGCGTGCTATTTTTGTTCAGGTAGTACTAAAAAACCTCGTGTTTTTTGCGTTTTATGGTGTGTTATTTAACGACATTCCTCTAATAATAAAAATACTATTGTCTTTCTTACGAGAACGTCTGTGTGCGTGGGCCATCTCTTTCCCGCTGCTCGTGAGCGTCCGATTCTGATGCGGCCTCATAGCTCTAGCATTTGATTTATGAGTTACGAAACACAAAGAGCTCCTTTCATGTCCTGTCCGTTATACACGGAGGAAGTCGAATATACGGGCGCATTTATTTTTGAAGCAATACTCCAATAGTTGTTCTTTGCCTCATAAAAAATGGGAAAGCCCCCCTGGAGTTGGAAAGTTCATGTGCATATGCGGGCGCACAAGAAGGCTCGTCTGCAGCAATAAGTAAGAGAGCTCTTGCACCCTTCCAAACATGGAGCAGGACTAATTACGACTGGCTGCATTGATACGTATCAATCACAAGGCAGGGGCTCCTTAACCTTGTAAAACAAAGTAAAATGGCACTTCATGGAGGGCCATGAGTTTTCATTCGGTTAACTCTTATTAATGATGCTGCCCTGTACCCCGCAGAAGATGCCGATCGCTATGTCCATGGCTGTTTCTCTAATTGCTGTCATAGAACGTAGCGGAAAAAGTAGCTCTCTTCAATCTTCAAGCGACACTCCCCAGATGTGATCAAGAAACAAAGAGAAGCTTGCTTACTGGTATCTTTTATTAAACGGGCAAGAGGCATAAGACTTGTATCGGTTTCTACACCTCCTTTCACATCCTGACAAAGCGATACCGGTCCTTCTGTATGTGACTGTGATTTAAACGCTGTCATAGTTCGTATCACAACATGAAAAAGAGCTCTCTTCAGTCTTCAAAGACTACAGGTGACATCGTAGAATTCTCTTCTGGGTTAGCAGGAATCTTCATGTCTCTTGCTTGATAGGTATGAGGATGTCTCATAGGAAACCGAATAGGAAGTCTCCATTGTTTCTGATGATAGCAAGATGCAAACAGTTTCCCACAGTCTTCAACATGAAATGAATTAAGTTCTAGATAGGCTTGCGCTGCTACAGTGATGGATCTGTAGGCGGTGCAGCTTGCCGAAGAATGGCCAAAACCATTTTCGAGAAAGCTCAGGTACTGGAGCCAGTGCTGCTGGTGCCATAGATCTACCAACCAACGAAAACATATATGAAATAAACTCTGCAACGACTAGGCCTTTTTCATACTTACCTAACAAGAGCAATGAAAACCGTTGTTGTTCCAGAAGATTACTTCCAGTCCTTGACAACGGTTGAAAGCACACAATTATCTTGTGATGCAATATATCCTGTCCTGGACATCAGAAAACACTGTGATGCTCAAAAAACTTCCAAAATTTCCAGCCCTGAAACTCACGAAACACTGTACTGCTCAAAAAAATCCCAAAATTCTGGCATCTATGGCCAGGCCGGGGGCAGAGTCCTTAAAAGTTTGGAATTTTTTGAGCATAGCAGTGTTTCGTGCGTTGCAAGGGTTGGAAAAGTTGATTTTTTTGAGCATTACATGTTTTGTGCGGTTGAACCGCACCTCGTCCGGGTGGATTTCCATGGCTTCGTGTGCGGCAAGATTTCAATAGGCTTGGAGTCACACTTGATTGTGCACAGGTGCGCACTTATCACATATCGCATGTCCCTCTTCACTAGACCCTCTCATAAACACTCACTGGCTCAAGATTTCGGCTGTGGGAGAACGAGACGGACCAGGCGGTTTGGGTTTTAGGACCAGCATCACCAGGTTTGGGGGCGGACAAGACACGCGCATCATGAGCATCAGCGGTGCTGCTTGGCAGTGCAATAACTGGAGCCGCTACCCCATGACCTCGTTGTTGAGTGGTGCATTAAGCAAATTCATTTCTTTTTGACCATGATCAATCTCAAAGACCATTTCTAACCAGGCGGATGCACATATACATATCTGTCGAAAAGACGCTATTCCTTGTGCGCGCCGGCTCACCTTGCAGGTATCTGACTGGAACTTCAAGTACTTGACCGGAGTAGAGGAGTATAGATGCATACACATATGCACATATCATATCTGTTTTTTTAATCCGATATTCCTTGTAAGTGCCGGCTCACCTTTCAGGTGTCTGACCGGAGTAGAGGTATATACACGCATGCACACAGGCACATCTACATATCTATTCTGTTTGCCGTTATTCCTTGTGTTGCTGCTGCTTTGTGCTTATTGACTTTCCTTATATATTTCTTCCTTTTGTTTCCTCGGGTTCTTGGTTGCTTGCTTGTTTGTTCGTTTGCTTGCGTTTTTGCCTTCTTCTTTTTTGGCGCCGTTGCCTTCTTCTTCCCTTCCTCCCTGCTTTCCTTTCCCCCCATTTCCTCCCTTTCTCTCGCTCTCCCTCTTCCTCTTTCCCTCTCCCTCGCCCTCGCCCTCGCCGCCTCTCCCTCTGCCTCTCCCTCTCCCTTTGCCTCTCCCTCTCCCTCTCCCTCTTCCCTCTTCCCTCTTCCCTCTTCCCTCTTCCCTCTCCCTCTCCCCTCTCCCCTCTCCTCTCCTCTCCCCTCTCCCCTCTCCCCTCTCCCCTCTCCCCTCTCCCTCTCTCCCTCTCCCTCCCCCGTCCCTCCCTCCCTCCCTCCCCCCTCCCTCCCTCCCTCCCTCCCCTCCCCCCTCCCTCCCTCCCTCCCTCCCTGCCCCCCCTTTCCCAAGCAAAAGCTAAAAACAAAAAAAATTCCTCAAATAAAACAAAAAGAATTCCTCAAATAATTCCGGACCCAATGTAGAGGGTAGATTTGAAAAATCTAATCAAACGTACCATGCCAAAGCAATGTTCATACGGCTTAAAATCGCTGGCGCACATCTAATCTACCAGTGCGGTGACAGCACGAAGACTGTGGCTCTGAAGCTGGAAGAAACTTTGGTCTCGATGAGTCGCGTGCAATTTGCCGTCTAAGCTCCTATCCGATCGTGAGAGGAAGTCGTGGCTGCGGCCCCAGTTACAGACCAGGTCGGAAGAGCTCGCCAGGATGCTTTCCAAGGAGAAGATCATCGAGGCACCGACCTTGCACACAGCTTAGGCCTTGGCCTTGGCCGTAGCACCGTAGTCTTCAGCCGGAAGGATCTGGATGCGAAAGTCTGCGATCTTCAGCCATGTATTGCCTCTTGCGACGAGAATTTGGCTAGAAGCTTAGACAGATCAAGCTACGTTGAGCCATCCGCACGGCTTTCCATCGGCCAAGCTGCATAAACTGCGGTCTGCTCCAGTAGAAGGCAGTGTTCTGATGACGCCTCCATGCCGTTCATGCTCTTCATGCAGAGACTTGCCGTAACAAGGCGCTGATCCGCAACCTGCAGGCTGCACATGAAGACATCAGGAGAAAGATGCGCAACCCAGTGTGCTAAGCTGCAGTTGCCACCATGGTTCAATGCAAAGGCTGCGCGAATGCGATTTGCATTCAAGCAACCGTCCTGGGAGGAGTGCCCAGGAGGGCAACCGGCAATCGCTCGATACGTCTGTGCGGGCATTGGAGCAACAGTTTTCAGAGGCCGCACCCATCGTCCTTTGCGCTCCGTGGTGCTCGCAGAACGCTCAGCTCCGCCGCAGGTGCAGCGATCAAACAGCGAGGCCAAAGACAGCCTTGCAAAAGCACACGCAGAGATCTTGAGGCACAGCTCAGTGACAACACGGTGAATATTTCTCAGATAGCTGATAACGTAAGCCTGGAAATATCAGACGAAGCTTCTGATCCAGACAGGGACTTTCAAGCCTGGAAGCCACCTACTTCTAACCAAGCGGCATGATGAACCTGTTGTAGCTGCAACACTGCCAAAGGAAGCTGCAAGGCCCAGGCATAAACACCAAACCTTCAGTGGAGGCTCGGAAGCTCGGACCTGCCTTGAACTGGATTCCGTGAAGCTATTGCATGCCAGCCCTAGGCCCTAGTCACCCTAGACCACCTCCAAACTAAGAGGCTTTCCAGGCAAGATGACGCGCTGAGCAGCGCCCAGGCGCGACCAGAACGCACATCTTGTCTTTCCTGGCCACCACGTCTCGCGAGCAGTCGCAGTATCTCTTCAGGCCACTCTAAGCCACGAAGTTGACCTGATTCAGAAGACGCTGCCGACGGTGGTCGAAAATCAGAAGGCTGTCCCGGCCGAACCACATACTTGTAGCAGAGTCAAGATAACTTCAGGAGGCGAATGGTTCCGTGCTTGCACGGCGTCTGCCAGATTGGTCTTCGGCTTTTCATTGATTGGACTAGCACGAGAAGAGATGGTTTCCACGGTAGCTCACCAGGAAATGGTTACATAGGGTCGCAGACATGCGAGAGGAGACGAGGACAGCGAGAGGACATGCTGGAGACACGAAAGCGACAGCAGTCATGGACACAGGGACAGTGGGGAATCAAGTAGCACTGTATCTCATAAGAGAAAATCAGCTTAGTCATTGCGAAGCTTAAATACAGAGCGACTAGGACGCAGCTGGGAAGGTCATGATTTTGCGGCAGGCACAGTAAGTGCAAAACACTGTTCGCGATTAGTGATTAGGCTGTTTCGGATGCCAGGATGAAGGTGAAAGCAGTATCCAACCTCTCCAATCAACGTCCTTCTCGGAGTGGAAACAGCGGAGAGACTTGCCTAACGTCACTCTTTGAAATCCACAACAGATGGCGAGCTAGGGCCTCGCGGGTGACCGGTCTCCATTTCAGCTAACGCGCCATGGCCGTGGACCTGCCGATTCCCGTGCTTGTTGCCGGTTGCTTCTGTCGCAAGCCAAAGTAGATTTGCAAGCGTGCCAAGCGTTTCCCACTGGCACGAAGAGGTGAAGCGGTGGGCTTGTCATGGGGTGGACAAGCTCCCGGGGCCCCGAGATGCAGGTCAGAGTGCGGCTTAGGGCCTCCTTGTCCGTTTAGATTCGTGGACAGTCCACAACTCCCTATGTGCAATAAGAACTTCAGTTTGAATGACATAGAACAGTATCACTCAATGCAACATGAAATCGTGTGATATACTATGACACAACACTAATACGCTACACTACGCTGATATACAATACATGAAAATGCAATGCAGGACAGTGTGTGTGTGTGTGTATCTGTATACGTACAATACTTATTCACACTTCTGCATCTCTCTCTCTCTCTATATATATATATATATACACACAGACTAATCTATTAAATGCTAACCCCCTACTGCCCCAACTTACTCCATACCTCCGAGCTTGGCTTATGACAAGTGTGAGAAAGACGAGCATCGCTAAAGCGCCTGTCCACTCTAGAACCCAGTGGCAGGAGATCTACGCCACCGGTTCCGTTCTGAAGCGATTGGAGGCTAGGAAACGATTGGATCGGTATGCGAGTTTTGTGGACTGCAGCATGTCAGGACCAAGTCAACGCTCTTCCCAAGGCCCAGGGCATTCCTGACGCCAGCTGACTCTGAATGTAAGTGCGGAGTTTGATCTTTCGCCTCAGGCCCAAGCAGAGCTGCACGACAGAGCCAGAGCGCTTGCGGAAAGCAGGCCCGTCATGTGTCGATTTACCCGTTTACTTCGGAGTTGTCCCGACGCCGCAAGTGTGCACGACTCCGTGCCAGATACAAAGAGCTCGGATGTCATTTGGATGCAGCCGAGAAGCGCTGGGAAGATCGCTTGAAGGCCGTCGCATAAGTCCGACAGATTTTTGTGCGATTCAAAGCAGACTCGAGGTGGCTCAAAGCAGCTGGGCCGCCGAAAAGGCTCCCAGTTCTCACTGCAGAGCTGCCAAAATTCAGCTGAGCGAGAACAGGCTTCCACCGAGTCCCAGTTCGTGGCAACACGCCAGCGACTGGATAAGGTGGATGCTGGCTCCAAAGAGGCATGAGCTTCTTCGAGACTGGAGTATACTGGAGTGCAGTTTGGATCAGCAAATTCTGGATGACTGGCAATTAGCATCCGCACAGGTTCAGCTTGCACAGGTAGCTGCAGCAAAAGACCTTCAAGTTGAGGCTCAGATGCATTGGCTAGTCGGCATAAGTCTCCGGTCGAACAATACGTTTTGTCCAAGATCGCGATTGCCAAGGAGTTCGAGAGCCTGCGCGGCCGATTGGGCGCGGCCGAGCAGCAACAGGCCTGAGCATGCCCAGGCCGAACTTCACCATTCGCACCACTTTCCTGCCAGGATCTGGAATCAAAGCAGCTCGCAGGAAGGATCGTGGCAGCACAGGCCAAGAGCCAACAAATCCGTGCAAGTTGAACGAGCAAATGAGTTACAGAGCTTCACGGAGCTTGTGAGCCTTGTGCCCGGGCCCACCGATGGCATCGGCCGTTGGGTGCATCCGGTGATGTGTGCACGCTGATCGCGGCCAGCCAGTGCTCCGTCACGGACCTTCAACCTCCGTCTTAGCTGCTGCTTCTGTCCTCCTCGTCCTCCTCTTCGTCCTCCGGCATGCTGCTCCTAGTACTACTAGTACGAATAATACTATCAGTACTACTAGTACATGTAGCAGTAGCACTCGTGCTCGTACTCGTACGAGTAGCCACGCCCCCCTACCAACCACCTGGCGCCTAAACCCATCGTCATCATCATCATCATCGCTGGTATTGGACTACGACATCGCGAAAGTACTGTAAACATCACAGAAAATGGATGTGTTCTTAAAATATACGTCATCACGCCCCCGGTTTGAGTACAACATGACGCATGTACTGTAGACACCTTGTAAAACTGATTTGCAGTGGTTGGTAGGGGGGTCACCTAGTAGTAGGAGTAGGAGTCGGAGTAGTAGTAGTAGTAGTAGTAGTAGTAGTAGTAGTAGTTGTAGTAGTTGTAGCAGTTGTATTCGTACTGGTACTAGCAGTAGTATTAGTATTAGTATTAATATTTCTATTATTATTAGTAGTAGTAGTCGCAGTGGTAATCGTAGTCGTAGTCGTAGTCGTGTCGTAGTCGTAGTCGCAGTCGCAGTAGGAGTAGTAGTAGTAGTAGTAGTAGTAGTCGTAGTAGTAGTAGTAGTAGTAGTCGTAGTCGTAGTCGTAGTCGTAGTCGTAGTAGTAGTAGTAGTAGTAGTAGTAGTAGTAGTAGTAGTAGTAGTAGTAGTAGTAGTAGTAGTAGTAGTGGAAGTAGTGGTAGTAGTGGTAGTAGTGGTAGTAGTGGTAGTAGTGGTAGTAGTGGTAGTAGTAGTGGTAGTGGTAGTGGTAGTGGTAGTCGTGGTATTTTTAGTAGTAGCAGTAGTCGCAGTAGTAGCAGTCGTAGCAGTAAGCAGCAGCAGCAGTAGTAGTAGTAGTCGTCGCAGTAGTAGTAGTAGTAGTAGTAGTAGTAGTAGTAGTAGTAGTAGTAGTAGTAGTAGTAGTACTAGTCGCTGTCGTACCAGTGCCAGTATCAGTAACTAGTACCAGTACGAGTACTAGTAGTAGTACGGGTACTGGTACTAGTACTGGTACGAGTAAAGTACTAGGAGCAGGAGTTGCAGCAGCTAGTAGCAGTAGCAGTGGTAGTACTAGTACAAGTACCAGTACCGGTACCAGTCCAGCCATATACCAGATGAGCGCCGCCACAACCACGGGATAAGTGCGAGTATGCCTCGTGAGCACTTCTCGGTCTGCGCTGCCGTTGATCAAGCAATCGGCATCCTTCTTGCTAAGACCTCAAGTCCAGTCGTATGTTTGGTAGGGTCACCCGTCATCGCAGGCGGCTGCTGAATCCAACTTGGCAGTTGTCCGACAACTTGTCGATAAGACGGAGGCTGGCCCGAAGTCCGAATCTCTCAAAGTCATTTCGATGCTGCGCAGGCTTCCACCGAGTCCCAGTTCGTGGCAATACGCCAGCGACTAGATAAGGTGGATGCTGACTCCAAAGAGGCGGAGTGCAGCTTGGATATGCTTGGATCAGCAAATTCTGGATGACTGGCAATTAGCATCCGCACAGGTTCAGCTCGCACAGGTAGCTGCAGCAAAAGACCTTCAAGTTGAGGCTCAGATGCATTGGCTAGTCGACATATTAGGCATAAGTCTCCGGTCGAACAATACGTTTTGTCCAAGATCGCGATTGCCAAGGAGTTCGAGAGCCTGCGAGGCCGATTGGGCGCGGCCGAGCAGCAACAGGCCTGAGCATGCCCAGCAGTTTTGCACGTGCTGTTTGTTGGTTGTTGGACGACAGCTCTGAATGAACAAAGTGTGGAGCAGTTTGGGGACTTCGGGTGTGCTGCCTTCACAGTGTCATAGCGCCAGCATTGAACATCTGCAGCAAGAGCTAGCCCAACGGGCCGGTGAAGGTCTCGAGGCAGCATCGCATGACGACGCTGCTAAGGGGTAGCTTCTCGACACTCCCAAAACGATGTTCCGGGCATCATGGACACCGGTATACCCACAAGAAAATCTCTTCGGGTGTACTGGACGACCGTTCCATCCTCTAAACCGGCTGAAAGGGTCTTCGCAAGCAGCCCTTAGCAAAGCCTCTTGAAATGACTGGAAGGTTCTGTCAAAAAATGGCTCGACCATTGTGCAAGTTGTGCCATACGTGTCCACGACCGTACAACACCTTTGCTAGACCAGCAACAAGTGTGACGCAGTGCAAAGCTGATGGCCCAGCTGAGGGTGCGATTAGCTCAAAACGGTATCCCGATTCAGGAAACCCAATGCAGAAAGCCAGGCAGGCAGATAAGGAACTCGCACGCCGAGCCCCTCATCATTTTGTGGTTTCAGGTTTGCGACCCACGACCACACTTTAGGCTGTAGCCAGATATCAAGGTTTAGGGTTTGCCAACAATGTCTCATTTTTTCTGCTTGAGGTTTGTCGCCCACGACCTTCCTTTTTAGGATTTAGGGTTTGACAACCGGCGTCTCGCTTTGAGGCTTAGGTGGGAACCAGTGTCTTCCGTCTTTAGCGATTGAAAGTTGCCACACCCGCGATCTTCCTGTGGTTTTCTAGGAAACATAAGAGCTTGCAAGCCAACATCCCGTTTCAGTATCTTCTGTTGGAGGTCAGAGGTGTGCCACCTGCGATCGACTTCAGGGTGCAGCCTGAGATAATCAGAAGCTGAGGGTTTGCCGGCACAATGTCTTCTTGCAGCGTGAGGTTTGTCACCCGCGACCGTCCTCTTTTAGGGTTTAGGGTTTGACAACCGGCGTCTCGCTTTGAGGCTGAGGTGCAAACCAGTGTCTTCCTTCTTTATGAAGTTTGCCACGTCCGCTATCTTCATGTTAGGAAAAGCTAGGAGCTTGCAAGCCAACATCCCGTTTTTGGTATCTTCTGTTTGAGGTCAGGGATTTGCCATCCGCGTTCTTCCTTTAAGGTTTAGCCTCCACCAAGCAGCAGCTGATGTTGAGGTCTAGGGTTTGCCTGTCTTTTTTTTTCTGCTTTAGGTTTGTCGCCCACGAGCTTCCTTTTTTAGGGTTTAGGGTTTGACAACCAGCGTCTCGCTTTGAGGCTTAGGTTGGAACCAGTGTTTTCTGTCTTTAGCGATTGAAGTTTGCCAAATCCGCGATCTTCCTGTGGTTTTTTAGGGACAATGAGGAGTTTGCAAGCCAACACCCCGTTTTTTGTATCTTCTGTTGGAAGTCAGAGGTTTGCCGCCCGCGATCAAACTTTAGGGTTTAGCCATCGCAACCAGCAGCTGATGTTAAGGTTTAGGGTTTGCCAACACAATATCGTTCAGCCTTGGCCAACCAGCAGCTGATTTCAAGGTTTAGGGTTTGCCAATACAATATAGTTTGTTGTCGCTTGAGGTTTGTCACCCAAGACCTTCCTACAGGGGTTTTGACGGTTGCCACGCCTACGATCTTTATGTGGGGCTTGCAATCCAACATCTCATTCTGAGGTTCATCTTTTTGCAAACCAGTATCTTCTGTTCAGGGTTTGAGGTTTGCCACCCACGATGTTCTGGAAGGGTTTGGCCTTAGCCAACCAGCAGTTGGTTTTAAGGTTTCGGAATTGCCAACACAATATCTTTAGGTTTTGCTTGAGGTTTTCCACCCACGACCTTCCTTTAGCGTTTAGGATTTGCCAGTCAGCGCTTTAGGTTTAGGTTTGCGAACCGATGGCTTCTTCTTTCGAGGGTTTGCAATCAGCCATCTTGATTTGGGCCTGGGTGCCCCTGCAACACTCTTTCGGGTTCGCCAACCAACATCTTTTAGGGTTCGGGTGTTACCCAACCAACTGCTACACCTTCAGTATAATGATGCAATGCTACGGTTCAGGGGTTGCTAGCAAACATTTGTCCTTGCAAAATGTCCTTTCACGGGGTGGCAGCCAATCAGCCAGTATATTCTTTCTGTGCGGTGGCTTGCCGACCAACATCTCCGAGTATAATGCAGGGTCAGGTTACGGTTTCGGGCTAGCCGACCGTCTGTGCTGGCTCCGAGCTTCGTGGCTGCCATGCTCGCTGCAGCGTGAGGGTTTAGGACCAAGGTTTAGGTATACGGGTCCAGGGCTCGGAAGCTGCAACAAACAGCTTCTTCGGGTTCCGGAATCAAGTCGGTGCTTCTTTTAGCGGTCTGGGCTTTGCCAACCTGAACAAGTTCGCTGTCGTTTGAGTTGTCGGTTGGTTTCTTGAACCGCTGCTAATGTTTTCGCGAATCTTCGTCCATGTTTCCGAATTGAATTTGTCTCCAGTGTTTCCGAAACTGGTTTCCTGAATTTCTGTTGTTTTCCGAATTGAGCCTGACTCGAGTTTGTTTTCCGAGAGCATGCGGGCGCCTCGTTTTCCAGGGCCCAGTTTCGAGAGCGGTGAGGCCATGCCCACCCGCTCCCGCCCCTCTCTGGCTTGGACGGCAAGAGAAACACAAGAAACTTCGCTTGCCTCAGATGCCCCAGCGGCCTATGTGGCGGGAAACGCGCTGGGCCGTCGACCCCCCACATCGCAGCCGCGGACGGCGTCGCTGAGCCCACTGCGCCACGTCTGGCGCTTGAAGCAAAAGGCCTTGACGATGCTTCGTAGAGCAGACAGCTCGATGCGTGTTGGCGCCGCCTACAATGCCTTACAAAAGGATGGAAACAGCCACATTCTCGTTGCTGAGGTCCAACAGCAGCAGATGCTTCAGACGACACGGACTTGGTGCCCCAAGTGTGACGGAGTACTCGACACCACGACCCTCCACCTGAGCACTTGTGTTGTTTGCGAGTTCTGCTGATGGGCCGAACATCAGCGGATCCCTGCCCTCCCATGCCGTTGATTTTCGTTTGTCCGGCTTCGTCCACGACGTGCCCATCACCCGACGTGGTTAAAATCCGACCTCTGCCGAAGAAGCTGAGGCTCTTGGTTCGGGGTGCTGCACCGAAAAGTGGCAAGCCTTCTTTTAAGGAAAGTTGCAATTCGAAGAGCAAGCAAGGCAAGCCCGAATTTGCAAGAATGGGACTGACGTCGTCACCTTGATCTGCAAAGCTGCTTCCGCAACGGCAGTGGCCGACTTCCTGGTTGGACCGTTAGTCTCTTGTCAGCCATGTTTTTCGTGTTGTGAGCCATAGATCAGATCGGGTGTGGAACAAGTTGCTGCTTGTGTTCAAACCTCGCAGAGGGCATGATGCTGCAGGCTGATGCGCTCTGGTAAGCAATGCCTCTGTAGTGCCTGAGGGGTGTGACGGAGCTGCGCTGTGCCAGGGCTACACGCGGATGTTGTGTTGCCTGCGGATGTGTTGGAACCTCTCCGATCACAGACCCAACACGGGACATGTTTGGCGCATCATCCTGTCGCTGACGGCTTTCAACCATGTGGCTATTTTTGGCCTTGGGAGCCATCGGCAGCTGCACCGGCAAGCTGCCAGTGTGCAGGCAAAACTCACACGGTTTGCATGCGGTGCGGCCGTCAGGATGATGGCAGGAAAGTTTCTGCGTACCGTGGTTCGTGCTCACGAAGGGATCGGGCATCCTTGCAAACCGACTGCAAAAAATCAAGAAACAGAGATCAGAAGACAGGCCTTTAGGAGGGACCTCACTTTTTGCTGTTTGAGTCTCAGTCCTTTGTAGTCCTGTGGAAGCCGAGTACAGACAGCTGAGCACATGCTGCCGGCTGTCGTCATGTGCTGCGATGGGCCTCGCAGCTGCGGCAGGCTTTCAGCAACTCCGGCATCTCCGCCGTCCGGCAGCAGATCGACAAGCTGCACACTGAGTCTGCTGAGGCGCGGGCAAAGCATGCAGTGGAAAGGAACATCTTGAACATTCGAAGTGCCATTGTCAGTCTTGCATTCAGGCATTGAAGATTCTGGAAGTGCAGCTTTCCGAGCAGTTTTCCGGGCAGATGTCGGCAGTTGAGCTGAAACAGGTAGGCCGGTACGGGTTCTCTTATGCGTCGGTGATGCAAGCACGTAGCCTCTGCTGTACGAGGCGGCAGCCGCAGCGGAATTGCGGAAGGCGCTCGAAAGCTGGGCAGTGCCACAGCATGTGACCGCTCCACACAGCATCCTGAGATATCCCGGGAACGGTGAGCGAAGCGAGCGGGCGAGCAAGGGGCTTGGGTGAGGCCCCCCCGGACCACAGCGGTGTGGCAACAAGGCCCCAAGGCCCTCAGCGCCAGACCGTTTCGGCTTCGATAAATTTCTACATTCTTCCGCCGGGCCAGTCTTGGCCACATGGCCACAAACAGCCACATCTGACTCTGGAGGGCTGCTAGAGTTGGAATTCTTCTCGCTCGTGAGTTCCATTCCTGGCGGTCAACAAGACAAGCCTTTTTTCTTGCGCCCACGTCGCATTCGTCGCAGAAGCACCGGCTTGTATCGGTGCAGCACATATGAACCTCCCTCACCTCCCTCGATTGCTGGCACACGTGCCACGAAGTATGGAAGATGGGGTCGAGAAAGTACGAAGCCGAGGCTACTGAATGGACAGTTTGGCTAGCCAGTACAGTCAGCTGCAGCTCTCATCAGGTCAATGCAGTCTTTAGGTTCCTCCCTTCCGCATGTGTGCTCTCGGATTATCTGCGCGTACGGGCCCATGCAAGCTGCTGCACCGGACTCCGTAAAAGTCATGGGAAGAGCTGCCCGGAGGCTCTCGACGCAGAGCTTGCAGGGGCTCAGGCGGACGGTCTTAGAGGACTTCCTATCACTACCAGCGCCCTGCAACGCCTCGCGCCTCGCCTCGATGGAGGCCGCCTTGAGAGAGCGGCTCTCGGAGGTCCTCGAGCAGCTGCCGCTCGGCTGGAGCTCGGCGAAGAATAAGATAAGAAGAAGAGAAGAAAAGAGAAGAAGAGGAGAAGAGAGCGGCGAGAGCGGAGAGTCGCTGGCAGCTGCCCTTTGCCCTTTGCTTTTGTGCCGGTCGTCGGCAACCGCAAGCGGCGCTGAGGCCAGAGTTGGAGGCACGTCTGGAGGACCAGAAGGGACAGATCGAGGCAGTCTACTCTGGCGCAGTCTCCGGGCAAATCTCTCGAGCAGCCTTGATCAAACTGTGACAGGCCGTGCGGACTCGCCAAGACGTGAACTACGATGCAGTCGAATCGCTGCAGGCGCTGCCGCAGACACTGAGTGAATGCATGAAAAGGGACGGGTACCTTATCGAACACTTCTCTGCCTTTGATCCAGGCCAGCCATGCGCGCGCTGCACAGGAAGCTTCCAAGATCTCGTGGGGCTCTGCTGCCACAGTCTGAAAATCATCCTCCCGTTCTCCTTCATTGCTGAGATCTCGGGTGGAGCAGCTCGTGGGCATGATGACCGAGGCCGGAGCCGCGGAGCGGGCAAAAGGGACGGTGAAAAGCACAAGCCGTAGCCGGGTCGCTGGAAATGTAGGCAGACAGACTTCTAGGGTCTGGCCCAAGCCTCTCCACACTCCGTCCTTCATCTTATTTCTGTCGTGTTTCAACAATCGCTCTGTGCGTAGCCCCAGGAGCAAAGGATCCGTGAAGCAGAGACCACCCAAGCAAAGCAAGGCAATTCGTGACGGGAGAGCCAGTTACCTACACCTCCATATTTTGCCGTCAACGCTTGGAAGGCATCAGAGAGCTTGAGGCAACTCAAGCAAATCTCACGACACAGCGTGGCCCCTATTAGCCTCAGTAGCCTCTGCGGCGCTCTGAATTAAATTCCTTGATGCTTGTCAGAGGCTCGAAGATTTTGGTGGTGTCTTGGAAACTGTTCGGCGCAGTGTTTCCGATGTAGACGACATGCTGACCAAACGGCCCGGACCTTATTGTAAGAGCTCGATAATCCGTCGCAGCCGGTCAGCAGCCACCTGAGCCGTCGGACTGTTCTAAGCAGCTCTGTAATTGCCCCGAGTGGCGACTGAAGGCTGGGGGACGTCAGCAAGAGGCTTGAGACTGTGCAGGCTGTGCAGGCTGCGCAGTTGCAGGAGGATGGTGCTTCGACGCTTTGGTCTGTTCTTCCCACGTGGAGGCGGAGCAACGCACTGAAGCCGAAGAGCACAAAGCCGACTTGCAACGCTTGCACGACGGCTTGCACAACAGCACCATTTTGGCAGAAAGGCATCGGGCAGAGGCCAGAGGCCAAGCTGCCGAGTCAGAGCTGTCAAAAACTCCTGCAGTAGTTGGACATGCGCGTCGAGGACTTGCAACGCTTGACCATCCCGCTTGAAGAGCAAATGCATGCCGCTGCCTGAGAGAAGATCGGCTACGTACGACTCGTTCTCACTCGCTGCTCTCTGTCCGCTGCCCGTTTCCATTGCCCAGTCTGTATAGTGACTAAAGTGCAGTGCCATGACCAAGGGTTTCACTTGGACAGATACTTCTCAAGAGGAGAAGGAGGCATGCGTCGTGCGACTCTTCCAGCGCTTCCCGGATGTACTTTTACATCTGGGCGATCCACAGCTCGCGCAGCGGTTTGAGCTTCCCAGACAAAGCGTGAAGCTGAAGCAACAGCCGACTGAAAACAGACTCACGGTTGAGCTGAAGCGACGGCTGCAGAGCACCAGCGTCACAGCCGCAGCCCAAGGTGTGGCACAGGCCTTGGATGCCATGACCGCATCACTGACGTCCCTGGCACAGTCACCTCCCTCACACGGTCAGATGGCACCTGTCCAGCCCATGCAGCCCAGAGATCTTGCATTCGGCCAAAGCCAAAGCTTTTTCTCATCAAATTTGGCCAGGCAAGCCCACACCTCCGGCTCACGAAGTTTCGTGAAGCCTCGTCACGAGCTTCTCAAGGAGGACAGCCACAGCTCCAGTTCGCCCTCTTTCGGGCGAGCGGCTGCGACGAAGGGCTTCGCGAAGGCGAAATCCCTTCCAGCACGCGGGCAAAGTCCGCCGGGCGATGGCGCTGAGGTCTGGCTGCCGGGCCAGAGCTCCGACGAGGAGCCTTCAAACCCTGCACCGCCGGCACGGCCCTCAGATAGTGACTATAGTGAGCACAGTGAGCATAGTGCATTCTGCAAGAGTCCCGACTGCTCCGTCTGCGCCAATTTGAGGCGCACGGCAAAAGCAACAGCTCCACCTCCAAACGAGATGCGTCGCCGACCTCCAGTGATCCGAGCTTTGAGAGCCCGTTCTTTCCCGTGGCTTTGCAGCGCGATGCCACCGGCACCACAGAGGCATCAGATGCTGGTAGCACTAGTGCAGGCTTGGACATCAAGTCGCTTCGCTCGCCTGCGGCATCAGCCGCCGGTCGCCTGACCGGAGACCTCATGGCACACGCACGCGGCTTGGGCGCCAGGCGCGGTCTGGCCTTGCAGCTCAGCTCCAAAAGCTCTCGGTCCTCTATCGTGGTCCCCCCAATGGATGATGACGGACGGAGCACTCCGCCATCATCTTCCAGCAGAATGGCCGTGGGCATGCGCATACCAGACAGCGAAGAGCCTGCTGTGCAGCTTGTTTTTCAAACCGAGCCACCAAAGAGGCGGACCTCACGGTGCAACACTATCCCTGCCGATATGATGCTTGCGGTCGCCCCCCGCATCCTGCAAGTTGCCAAGGTGCCACGGCCTTTGCCAGCAGCATTCCCCATCAGGCGGAACATCATCTTCTTCGACTGGGATGATACACTGTGTCCGACGAGTTGGATCCGTAGTCTTCTCAAGGAGCACCTTGCAGACATGGAGGAATGGCTGGACCAGTATGATGACTGCCTTGAAACGGAAGAGGACTGGCGGGATAGTATACCCAGCTGGTTCAAACAACCGCTACCGGACGAGCCGCACGTTCGACAGCTTATTGCAGACCTGCAAACGGCCTGTATCCGAACGATACGAATAGCTCAGTCGCTTGGCGTGGTGTGCATTGTCACCAACGCAGTGCCAGGTTGGGTGGAGAAGACGATCAAGAGATGGTTGCCCAAGCTGCGGACTCACATAGGTGTGCATGGTGTCCATTCAGTCCGTTCTCAGCATCCGATCAAGGTTATCTATGCTCAGCAGGCCTACTGCGATGGGTCGAAGAATCAGAACCTTCCCTTCGTGGACGAGCAGGGTGAATTCATGCTTTGGAAGAAGGCGGCCATGGCTGGCGCCTTGACGGAACTGGATCACCTCTACGGCCTGGAAGAGAAGAACGAAGCCAAGGTTCCGGGGCTTCTGAACGTCGTGAATGTGGTCTCCATCGGAGACACCGAAGCAGAAATGAGTGCTGCAGAGCTTGCGAGCCAGGGCCTTCACAGCCAGCATCCAAAGCGGGGTCGTCTCTATCGACGTGCCTGTGGCCTGCAGGACCAGCCTGAGCCTGGAGGCAACCAATCGGAGAAACCGTGCGGAAGTCGGACATCCTCCAAAGATGGGAGCAAGGAGGATGCCAGTGGCAGCAGCGGAAGCGAGAGTGGTCAGGGTGCTAGCGGCCTCGAGCGCAGCGAGCGGGACCGGGACTGCGACTTCGGAGAGTTTGGGCCGGGACGGAGCCGTTCCTTAGAGACCTCGAACCGGAGAGCCTTCGGGGCCTTCCGTCCTTGGGTGAAGCTGATCAAACTCTCTGAGGGTTGTCAGGCCCGCAGGCTTACAGCACAGCTGGAGGAGATCGCTCAGCTCCTGCCCAAAATGTTGGCCCTACGGCGTGATGTCCGAGTTGATCTCACCGAAGGCGCCTCCAAATCCCAATTCTGGCAGAAGGCCCTCGGCTGTACTGAAGAGGACCTGCGGCTGGAGAGGCACCTTTGTGTTGAGACTTTGTGACCTTCATGAGCGCTGCGACCCGAAAAGTACCGTCGCAGCCATGGCAACATGAAAGGTTGGCAGGCACAGGCGTCACGTCTACGGCGAACCCAAGTGATTGACCAGCCCCGCGGTGAACATGTCGAGGCTCAGCAAGAAGCTCTGGTCGCAGACTCAGTGGCCAATCTGCCTGTTCCACTCGGTGGTGCAAACTCGCATCACCTGCTGTAGGAATGCTGAGCCTACAAGTGTCGATGTCTTGCAGTCGTCCTGCATCCAGTGCTGTCCTACGACGTTGTGAACGCACGTCGGTAGAGAAACACGATGACAGAAGCCTGCCGGCGGGTCGGCATGCGGCAGCCGGTTTTGACTAGGATTTGTGTGTTTTTTAAAAAGCATGTAAATTTATTAAGCCCCGTGTTGTACCTCCGCAGGGCGGCCAAAACATGACCACCTGCTACGTATTTTTCCGCTATATTTGCCAGACTCTTGCACCATCCGGCAGCTAGCAGCAATTGAGAAGTCCGAATCCCACTCGACGCGGCACAGCCATCCCCTACACCCCAGAAACATCCAAAGGAATTTGTGAATGTTCAGTGACATCCCCGCGCAATGACCCATCGAGGCCTGGAAGCCTCGACAGTTCAATACGGCTTCTCGAAGTGATCGAACCAATCACAGGACTTGACTGCGTTCACGCCGCCAGTTGAAATCGAGCTCGGACCGAGAAGTAAACTTCGCATTGGAATGGCGTTCGAGCACGAAGCAGAAACCGCACTATGCAGCAAGCACAACTAGCCCGAGCCTTCGTCCAGGCCTAAATCCTGCATCCCGGGAAAGACTTGATCGTCCGAAACGGCAGGCAGCCTGCAACAGTGAAGTCAACGGGAAGAACACAAGAAGTCGCGGAATTTCTGCTGTCCACGGGTTGGTGATGGAGTTCATTCTCTGTGTTGTAACCAGTTCTTCTCTTCCCGAGGGGAAGCTTGCTTCCGATCAGCAAGCACGCCAGCTCAAGGAAGCAGCCGTACAGGCGGCTGAAAGACGGGAAAGAGAAAAGGGAGAGCCCTTTCTTCGTTCAGTTCGAATTCACATCAGGAGCGGTTTGAGAGCGAGCGCGCAGCTCGGGAACTGCAACGCCCTGACCTTGGATTTTTTTCGCGTGAGCACCCCGGCGGCAGCTACCATGTCGACATATGTCGACCGTCCCAGGGCGCGAGCTGTTGGGAATCGTAGCTCGAGAGCGAAAAGCCTTTGAACGGCTCACCGCGGCTCATCTGCAGAGTCGTTGCCTGCATGCTGTGAAACCTTATCACTGATGCCCATGCCACTGGACATTTCCATGAGGTTCTCGAGCAGAGCCTGCTGGCTGTTGACGAGTTGGCTCGCCGCGAGATGGAGGCGGCTTGCATGTTCCGACTGAGTTATGGGTGCCGAACAGGTGGAAGCGCATGATTTGGTCATATTTGGTCACTCGTCACATGCTCTTGGAGTTTAGAGATCTGTCGCAAGAAGCGGATTCGTTCAGGCTGAGTCTCCGACACTCAGACATGGGTCTTAGCACAGACTTTGCGGGATCGGGCAGAATGCTTCAGGCTCGGGCACGTGACACCCGCCGGCTCTGGGATGCACTGGACAACGTCTCCAATGACCCGGCGGCTCAGGCCTCGCGTTGAATCCTCGTAACGAATCCGCGCCATTCCGCGGCCTCGCGGCCTGGCCGAGTGGAGACGCGTCTTGAGCTTGCGAGCATGCTTCAGCTTCAGCATCAGCTTGAGATTCTGGCAGAGCTTGGGCTCGAAGGAGTCTAGAGACGCCCTGCGCTTGGCCTTCACTAGGAGGGCAGCAATGCCCCGGATACGCACTCTGAATACCAAAAAGGCAGATTCCAGAGCTACACTGAAGCACTGGAGTGTCTGCAGCGCGTTCTCGTCATGGCAGGCTCCTGAAGGATGGGATGACGTTGCTCCCCAGCTAGAAGAGTTTGCAAACCAGATGCCGGAACCCCGTCATATCCAGGGCTTGTATACTATCCTTCAGGCTGTCCTTTGGTGTTGAAGGCGAGACGCCGTCAACGAGCCGCATGAGGGTAAGCGACGCAACGAGGCGGGCACATGCTCAAAGTTGACAGAGGTCTGCGTGACGTACCTTGCACTTTGAGCGTCTTGAGGCCACGTGGAAAATCACGAAGATCCACTGGGAACGTTCCAGGTTGGGCAGTCTAAGTAAAGTGGTGCTGGTCCTCTCGAATGCCACCCATGCGTAATGGGGCACTGGCAGGTATGTCTACGAGCTCTACTACAAGAAGAAGGCATCGGAGAACGGTTCGGAGAGCTCTTCGAAGTTTGATTCATTGATGAGTCCTTCTGAGCCTTCGTCGATGCACAAGGCGATTTCGAGAGAGCTCTATGACTGGCTGCTGCAAGAGAAGTACGCAGACACTCGGAAGAGACTTTGCTTTCACAGCTGTAAGACAATGCCGCGAACTGCCAAGGATGCCTCCATAATCGCGAAGTGGCGGAAGCCGGGCTTTGAGTACCTCTGCTCCCTTATGGCCATCGACAAGAGAAACACAAACTTTGGAACGACAGCCATATGCAACTTGGCAAAGCAATGCATCATCGCAATAGGGTTGGTTTTGTGCAAGACCGAGAACCTGTGCTGGACAAGCGGGGTGCAGCAGATACAGTTGAGCACGAGCAAGGTCGGGTGCCTTTGCACTTGAGGAAGGCAGGTGCTGCACAGCCGGCAGTCTCGACAGGTGGGAGAACCTACAGCAGTCCCGTCGGGCCATGTCTGTACATTGCAAGGCTGCATCTCTTGTTCTTCGCAAGAGTGTGGGCGGCTTGGAGGGCCCATCTGGTGGGACTCCCCGCGGCCAGCAGATCTCATCGGTTGGGCGAAGGTGCAAAAGCAGAGTTCAACAGCCCCTGATCGTCGAACATCTTCGGCAGGCTGGCTGCCCAACAGCTGAGAAGCCAGGCAAGAAGCGCAAGGCGCAGGAAGAGGGCGAGGACCCGAGCCACGTGTGGACTACGTCCAGCATGATCTGAAAGTGCGACATGTTGGGCAGGAAGCAGAGCTGGAAGCACGAGCCGCAGCGCTTCGGCGCGGCGTGAATGCAGGCCTCAGGCGCGCTGATACTCAGAACATTTGTGCGGATGTGCCTGTCTTTGGGCACTCCGCAATCTGTCGTCTCTCTGTGTTTCCTTGCAGGGCAGCCGAAGCAGATGCATTGGAAGCTGCTGCCGCTGCTTTCCGCGGATCAGCAGAGAAGGCTAAGGGTTGTCAGATGTAGGGAATGTTGCTACTGTACTCGTAGGTACCTGATTGAAAGGCACCCCCGCTTCGCATGCACGATGGCGACGAGGAGCAGAAGGAAGGAAATGAAGATGGGAATGATGAGCCCAATGAGGCAGAGCAAGAAGGCTGAACGCTAACGCCGCTGACCCACCGCAATGTCGCGGCTAAACAGAAACAGAAGCTGCACGCCTGCACGCTGTGGGATTCGGGGCTGGCACATCTTCCGCAATTTTGCAAGCAGGATGTGGAGGCTTCGCTGCCGTCCCAGCCGCTGACGAGTTTCCTGAGGCCCTCATTGGTAAAACGCTGATGTCGACTTAAGTCGGCAGGGCCAGATCAGCCATCAATCCGATTAATGGTAGTGCAGCCAAAAGCCACAGGTCAGGCAACGGCAACCTCCAACATGCGCCTGGTACTCGTACGGTCGTAATGCGAGCAGTACTGAAAGTGGGAGCTTGTCTCTGCAACCACAAGCATGTCGCAGCATCTACCACAGCTCAGGCCCTGAGAAGAATATCTAAGAATCTAAGGATATTTCATCGAAAAACCTGCGAAGCTAGTTTTTCCATTGAGGTATGCCTGCATTATTACACGTCTACGTACGCCAGTACGATCGTCTCGGGATGTGGTTTGCAGGCTGGGAGGACGCAGTCGGCATGACGGAACGGAGCTGAGGGAGAGCTAATGTAGGCTAACTGTGATGCGTCCGGAATGCCTGCATCTTCAAGACGTGAAGGTTTCCCAAGCCCTCAAAGCTCGGCGAGTGTTTGCGAGGATTTCTGCCCAAGCATCCGGAACGTGTCGTAGGCCGTCAATGTAGGGACCTAGTTTGCGCTTGCCTTAAGGCGTGCTGTCAAAGACACAGCCGCGGTAGTTTCGAAAAAGCGCAGCCGACCTGGGAGAAGATGAGATGAGGGTGCATGGCGACCAGCACTTTGGAAGGGATTCGATGAGATTCGAGACCTGCCATCGGCTCTGAGCCGAGCCGCGCGTCTGCGAGGGGGGTCTTGTGCTTTTTCAGCCGCTGCCCCGCCGCTCACAAACATGGAAGTCGAGGCGGATCGCCGCAACACTGGCCTGAGCATGAGGGCAGTGCACAATCTGGTTTCAGGTCCTCCGTCATAATGGCATTCCTGAGCCGGGAACCAAGCCAGCTTGTGAGTCTTGTTTTGTCACGGCTGCCATAGCTGCGACAGCTGGACTCTAGGTCCAGCATCCTTTCGATCCGTGTGGGAAGTGCGCCACATTTGAGGAGGAGCCTGTCACACACTTGCGTCCTCGTGAAGGTAGCTAGGTTTGCAAAATCCTGCCTGCATCCTCGGAAATGCTTGGAAAGGTACCCGTCGCCAAGTCCACGTCTCGCAGTTGGACAGGCTTTACCCGCCTCCATTTTCTGGCATTCTGCACCTTCTGCAAAATGTTTCCAGGCCACTGAAGTTCCCAACCAAGCTCGAGGACCGCCTGCATCGCCTGCAAGCCCGCCTTCGGCAGTACTCCGCCTGTGCAGGAGTGCTCCTCTGTGAAGGCTGCTCAGCACATTGCGGCCTGCACCAATCGTTAGCTCACTTTCCGTGCAAAGGTCGAAATTCTGGACGTTGCGGGTACCGCACGCGTGTCGTGCAGTCCATCCACGTGGCATTCACAGGGAAGAAAATCCACGGCATGCCGCGGCCATGTCGCTCTCGGGGCACTGCAGGTCGGAATACAGCATTCCCTTAGAGTCGCCGCTCGAGGGAGAAGGCAGCACTGGCATGGAGGCACGGCCGCATGCATTGCTCCGAGGTCAATTCCTAATTCTGCCTGAAGCCCCCCAGGTTGGCATCAGGCTTGGCGGCGCAGGTGCCGGCCTGTGCAGTGACACAGTGACTCGCGTCGCGCATCTGACACCTCCTTGTGTGACCTTGCTGGTGTACCGTCTACCGTGCAGAGAGAGCATGGTAAGAAGCAGGCGCGGAAGTCTCGCAGGGCGCTGTAGAGGTCGGGGCCGCGACCCATGTACACATCCGCTCGCTCGCATCTTGCCTCTGTGACTCGGAGCATCGACGGAGGAGGCAGAAAAGAAAAAGGAAGACGATGCCAAGTCATATTTGGAGGTGCTTTTCGTTTGAGAGGACTCGCGAAGCATCTTTGCAGAGCCCCATCTGCTGAGAAACATGGGCTGACTTCCTTCATGCAGTTCCTCATCCAAAGCCTGATGAAGGCAGGTAGCACGCAAACAGCAGCGACAGCAAAGGCAGAAACAAGTCCGTAGTACAGTACTTTGTTCAATGATCCGCTAAGGACAAACCGGAAGACCCGTGCGCCGGAAGACTTTATGCAGTCATGCATGGTTCCAGCAGACAACTATCAGGTACAAGTTCCTTCAGCGGCAAGTGACCAAAAAGATGATGGCGTGAGCCTCGCTTGGTGGATCTGGTCGAAGAGCTGTTCTTTCGTTCAGCCTGAGAAGCGAACTCCCTGCCGCTTAGATCACCGAGCTGTCAAGTGGAGGTTCAGCAGTCGGGCTCTCGGACTCTCCCGGATTTTGTCGGACCTTTGCCTGAATCAAGCAGAGGGGTAGTGGAACTGTTCAGGACCAGAAGCTGGAGGAGATGCTGACGAAGTTGAGTTCCGAGGCACAGAGCACTGGTTGGACGTGCTTCGTGCTGTGAGCCTGAAATGGTGCAGGTGACAGACTGTGTCCCTGTAGAGCAGCTGCAAGACCTGCAGAAGCAGGCGGAGGAAGTAGGCTGGGGCGCCTTGTCCGCTTGCTTTACTGACTGCATGTCGCTACAATTCAGGCGATCAGCTGCGAAAGGACAACAAGGAGCTGAGAGAAACGCTCGACCTACTGAAGGGCAGGCAACGGCTGGGGCTCCAAAAAGCGCCGGCCGTTCCATTCTCTCTCCCACGATCACGGATTCGGCAGGTACCGCTCCCTTCTAGTTGAGAACTCGGAGTTAGCACAACAGGCGCGAGTGCCTCCCGTCCGCGGCACCGTTCTTGACAGGAGCTAAGCACTCTGCAACATGGCCTGCGGATTAATGCTGCAATCGCGCTCGAAGCTAGACTCTCGCTCAAGCGCCTTCTAGGAATCGACGCGGCCTCATCACGTCGGATGTATCTTCTTCCAAATCCCTTGAAACGGGTGTACGAGGATGCCTTGCACCCGACGTGCACCCGACGCTTCTGAGTTGGTGTGCTTCGCATTCGAACTCGCCTTCGTCACATCTTCGGCGCATTTCTATTCTACGCATTCCGTTAAATGCCTTGAGTAGTTCATGTGCAACTGCTGCTGCTGCAGTGGAGTCACACTGGCCGCATGCCAGGTCGGAGAAAGCGCAGAAGGCACTTGGGGGGCAAACTTGGGAGGCTGAACGGTACGCTTGCTCGCCTTCGCAGGCTCGGACCTGGTCTCCATGCAGGCAACTTTTGAAGGGAGTCAAGCTGCTTCTGTATCCCTCACGGTTTGGCGCAGGATGATGTGGGAAAGATGGTTAATGAGAATGCCTTGCTGGTGTCCGAGCTGACAAGAGCCTGGCCTGCATGCAGAAAGAGATAGAGAGAGAGAGAGAGAGAGAGAGAATACTTGAGGCTCATAAGTTGACCCCTGTAGAGTAGCGTAGTTTCACGTACCGTGGGGGAGGCTCGCTTGCTTTCACTCGCAGCCTTAGCCAGTTTTTGTTTCGAGGGCAGAGCAGCCCCCACTGCCTGTCACGGCGCAGACAACCCCGACAGAGGGGGAGCAAGGTGGGGAATGTGATCTGTAGCGAGTTCAGTGCCTGCCGTTTTCGCTGTAGTGCCACACCTTGCGCCAGCTCCACGGCCTCGTTGGCCTCGTTGAGAGACCCGCCTAGAGGGACTAAGGACTGTTGTTGTGGTAGCCATAGGGGCCCGGTGACGAGGCCGGGACTCACGGGGTTTAGTGTTCTAGGCGGGGATCTCTACACGAAAACCAGGAGCAGACCGAGTAGTTCCTTGCCGTAGTCTGGAAAGACCCCGTTACCGGCCACTCCAGAACACAGGGGGTGAGCTGGGCGGGCCTATGGCCTGGGGGGCGCGCGCGACAGAAAGAGGGAGAGAGACAGAGAGAGAGAGAGAGAGAGAGAGTGCTTTTGAGCTCCAGCCGGAGTAGTACGGATCCCGAATGGTGAGATGAGGTGCGAGGCGGGGGTTTTTAGGTTAAAGTAAAAGGTGGGGATGCTACGGTTGAAAGCCGGCGCCTCGCTCTTACTAGGGGGATACTTTCACCTCGGACTTAACCCAGTGCGCACTCGTGCGCGGAGTGGGCTACCCACTTTTGTCTGCGTGCAAGAGAGAGAGAGAGAGAGAGAGAGAGAGAGAGAGAGAGAGAGAGAGAGAGAGAGAGAGAGAGAGAGAGAGAGAGAGAGAGAGAGAGAGAGTCAGAGAGAGAGACAGAGAGAGAGAGAAGGCAAGCAAGCAAGCAAGAGAGAGAGAGAGAGAGACCTCAACTACCAGGGGACCAACGCAGCATAGCCCACCGGGGCCGCGGCAACCCAGGCCACGCAGCTCCTCCAAGAATAGCAGTAGCCCGGACGACACGGCCCCGCAACCAAGCCAAGAACAACCTCTCCTTCTGCCGTCGTCTACGGGGACCCAGCAAGAACAGGGAGCTCAGGCCTCGGCCCAGCCCGCGTCACCGGGGCCCTGGGGCCCACAGGATGAGAGATTTGAGCAAGAAGTTTGGGACTCCATCCTCAACTATGTGCCCGGCATCCACAGCGAGCCGCAACAGCAAACCCAGACGAGCAAGCAACAAAAGAAGCGGGCAGCCCGCCCTAAAGCGGCAGCCGACTCGGAGCCCGCCGCCAGGCAACCGCCAACCACTCAGCCACCACTACCCACGACCTCGGAAGAGTCACGCTAGGACCAAGGCAACACGAGCAGCAGACCAGACCCCGTGACCTGCACAACCAACGCGACAGCCACCAGAGGAGTCTTGCGGGGACTGTCCCCCCTCGCCGCAGGCGCAGCCCGTGCCATCCCACAGGTGACATGCACGCCGGCCGAGCACAGCGCCGACCCCTACTACCAGAAGGCAGCACCACAAGACCCGGAGAACGCCCAGGAGACTCACATCCACCCGGAGCCCCACGTGACGATCCAGGAGATCCACAGCAGCGACACCTACTACACGCAGGCTTCGGGGACGGCACTTGGCGCTCAGCCACAGACCACCCAGCTAGTCCCACCGAGCGGGGAAGAACCTCAACACAAGGGACTGCATCCATACCTGGACGTTTTCGAGGATGCCTCCCCAACCAGCGTAGGAACGGGGCCCCACGACTACCTTCAGTGCGACAGTGGAAGACCGGGGGCCCCCGGGACGAAGCTGAGGAGCCAGACTGGAACCGCGACAGTCAGGACGAAGCTGAGGTCAAGGAGGAGCCAGACTGGAACCACGACAGTCAGGACGAAGCTGAGGACAATGACGACTCGGACTCGACGCAACAAGGCGAGAGGACGGAACCACCGAGCAGTTCAAGGGGATCCGAGAGACCCGCTGAGCCAGAGGGACCACCGCCAAACAGGACCCTGTCGAACCGAGCGGGGAGGACAGCCCCACTGACAGAAGAAGCTCGCAAAGAGCGCAACCGCCGCGACAGAGCGGATTGGAGAGAAAGACGCCGCGTCCGTCGACGCTTGGGACTGGAAACCGGCTACTTCTACCCGAGCGGTGCGACACACAAGAAGCGGCCGAGAAGTGAGCCGTGAGCACTAGCTTCCTCCTTGTAGTTAGCTAGGGACCTGGCTGAGTACTTACTAACCAAAGAGGGGACACAAAACCAAGCTCCACTATGTTGCAGGGGCCCCTGCGAACTTTCCCCCACGCGTTTGATTACCGCAGGCTGGTTAGCTACTTTGTTGGGCCTAGCTGGGCTCCTGCAGCTCGAAGGGGCCGTACCACCGGGGATTTTTTAAGAACAGTCGACAGCACCACCACCCAGCAACCACCTCAGGGGCTTCCGGTGTAGTGTGTGATGTTCCCCTATCGGCTTTAACCTGGCACCCCCCTGTTTCCTGCCCCGACAACACCGGAGCCCTACCACGACACCACCACCACAACCAGTGCGGGGCCCAAGTTGTGTGACGTTCCCTAGGCTGTGCGAACCTTTTCCCCCCTCCGTGCTGCTTCCCGGGGACCCGCACTGGCACAAGCAGCGTAAGTTCCACCAAGCCAACAGCAACACCAGGAGAGCGTGCTGAACCGACGACACCCCGTGCTGAAGTTGTTGTACCAGTGTGCTAATGCTGAGCCTGTTGTGACTATGGAACTTCTTACGCAACCAGCTGGGGAAAGTCAATTCACAAGCCGTAGAAAACCTACGGACAACTAGCACAGACACAGGCGAAGGCGGGGCACGTTGACCTAAGCGGTCTACAGGTGTTGATTCGGGGACTGCCCTGGCTGAGCAGCAACAACAAGTCTCACTCAAGACGTGGACAACGGCGTAGCGCACGCGCGCAGGGGGTGTAGGGGCCTTCCCTGCCCCCCACACGCCTTGCAAGCAAGCGAGAGAGAGAGAGAGAGAGAGAGAGAGAGAGAGAGAGGGAGAGAGAGAGAGAGAGAGAGAGAGGAGATAGAGATAGAGCGAGAGCGAGAGAGCGAGAGTGAGAGCGAGAGCGAGAGAGAGGGAGAGAGAGAGAGAGAGAGAGAGAGAGAGAGAGAGAGAGAGAGAGAGAGAGAGAGGGAGAGAGAGAGAGAGAGGGAGGGAGGGAGAGAGATAGAGAGAGAGCGAGAGCGAGAACGAGAGCGAGAGCGAGAGCGAGAGCGAGAGCGATCCGATCCAGAATGCCGGCTACATGATGTGACCCAAATCAACGCAAGGCCTAAAGCACCAACACCGCCGCAGCCTAGCGCGGCATCAGGCCAAAAGCTACCGGCGGGGAGCCAACCGGCCCAGGATGTGTGGACGCTTTTTCGCACAAGTGGGGGACTCCACCTCCGTTACAAGCCTGAGGAAGCGGACAGGTGGATAGGGAGAACCATCGAGACTGATGACAAAGGCGAGTACCAGGACTCAAGTACGGGGGAACACCTGAGCCCCTCTGAAACAGTGGAATATGAACGTCACCTTCGCCGACTGTGTGACCGGCATCGCACAGGGGAGATGGCAGACAGACTTGTGCGCATTGGACAAGTGGATGCCAGCAATCTCTGAGGAAAACCGCATCTACACCATGAAGTTCCCAGACCAAGTCCAAGCTATGTTGCTAAGAGCATGGCAGATCCGAAAAAGGATGAAAGCAAAGAGGGGGGGGAGCTCGCTGTCTGAGCCCACCGTAGCGGCCCCACCACAAGATGAACAGAACGGGGAAGAACCAGAACTGCCTGCCGCACCGGAGAGGAGGAAGCCAGGAACCTATAGTCAAGCCGCGCGGGAGGCACAAGAAACCCAGGAAGCTGGTTCAGCCGATGGTGAGGAAAAGACAGAAACACCCCGACGACCAGGAGGGCTACCAACAGGCCGACGAGGATGGGGACGACACATGGCCGTGGCATGGAGCTAGTGAGCCTGCAAGCTCACACGGAGCACAACGACCAAATGAGCCGGTGGGGGATCTTCCTCACAAGAACCGCCGCCTTATGATGATGCGACCGAACGAACCAGACGGGGAACTTCCTCACAAGAGCCGCTGCCTTATGACGATGCGACCGAACGAGCCCGAGGGGGAACCGACAGTGCGTCGCCGTCTGGACCTTGTTCCTAGCCCGCAGTGGCAAGTGCAACAGGTGCAGCAACACATGCGGCGCCACCGGGGAGAAGCTGCCACAAGGTCGAGTGCTGAACCTTAGTGAGCGTGAGCGCAGTGAAAATTTTTCGAGCTTGTAAAGCATGCAGCGGAGAGTGAGCCGTCAGTGAGATTTTCGTTTGCTGTTGTTCTTGCTTGTTTGGGTCTACCCGCACCCGGCTGCCCCCCTGATTTCCAGAGTTTCCGCTTGTGAAGCCGAGCATGCACAATGCATGACTGCTCCTCCGTTCCCTTAGCCGGGGGGACTGCAACATGTACTATACCATCCCTTCGGGGGAAACCGTCGCTACTCGACAACTCTAGTCCTTTTGCTGCAATTCGTCGCAAGTCCGTCGTTCATCGACGATGTCTGATCCGCCTACTGCCGCTTAATTCATCCCCTGCCTCATTGCGATTCGTGCACGGGGGAGCGGAATTCATCTGGCTTTCTTGCACCTTGAGCAGTCATTTGAGCACTATCGCACATCGCACATGCGGGGAATGTGACCTTGTTTGTGGTGGTTATGTGACTAAAATGTTTCAACCTGCATGTGCCGGTGCATGGGAGCTCTACTGTACTTCCTCATATTGCAAGCCCTTGACGATAGCCATCTCTAGTGTTCAGGGACGGGGGCTTGCAACTCCGAGGTTGGGAGCATACCATGTTTTTCTTTGCCTCGGTCATTGAAACGCCAAATCCAACCACTCCATCAAACAGGGTGTGGTTGGGCGGGCCTAGCACCTGAGGGTCACGACGTGACCATTACGCCCAGCAGAAAGAAAGAAAGAGAGAGACGAGGACACTTGGCGCAGCACTCGCGCGCAGGGGTCGGGGACCGGCTTCCCCACCCTAAACGCCGAGCAAGCAAGCAAGAGTCTAAAAGAGACAGAGAGAGAGAGAGAGAGAGAGAGAGCAAAGTCAATGTCAATTAGCTACTCAACTATCCGGACTGTGTGCGACGGAAGCTTGAAGTCCAAACGTAACAACGATCAAAGTCAATATCAGGCTCGGACCGGATGTGTGAGTCAGTTCGTGCATTTAGATGGGCTCCCGCATAGATGGCACAAGCTTCAATGGAGTTGGGATGTGTGGGTTGTTGTGGTTGTCGCCACAGGGTTCTGAGACTTGTTCGTCTGATAAAGGCCGATGCCCTCCTCGCAGTTTCCCCGAAGCTTGCTGAGTCGGATGCAAGTAGCAATCATGCTAGCACATCATCGTCATGATCATCATCAGCATCAGCAGCAGTAGCAGCATCATCATCCATACCAGCTCAGGTATGCAGGCCAAGATTGTGTCCATTCGGGACGAAATCGAGACTCTGCAAGCGCCGGCTACGTGACCGTCGGGAGAGTTGTGTTTCACCACGCATGTTCATCACTCGCATGACTGGCTTATCCCATTCTCTCAGTCAGCGACAGGGTCTTTTCGTAAGACTTGTGGAAACAAAGGAAAGCTGCCTGGTTGTGCGATTCAAGAGCGATCACCTTCTCACCCCAGTGAAGCTGGAAGGATGTTACTGTTTGCACTCCATGGTAAATACCAAATGCTCCGACTCATATCGACGATCAAGGATGGTTGCTGTGCCTATGGTGCGGCGTGGCCGCTCGTAACTCTGCAGTACACGGAATGTCGCGCTGGCTTCAGCACTTCCGGGTTTAGGTTGGGCCGCGAATGCGATAGAATGCAACCCGCCCAGCCTGGGAGGAGGCCGATTGCACACTGGTTTGTGGCTACCTCGACTTGCTGTACTGAGGAACGTCGCGACTGGAGCCAGTGTTGCAGCTGCTTCCGCGGAGGTGACGCTCCAAGAAACGCTGACACCGGAAAGCCCCAACCCTGAGCCTGGCCCACTGTCTCCGAGCATGGTGCGGGGTGCCAGGCCAGCTCAGCTTCTACTATGCTCAGCACCTTTGAGGCATCACTCACGGCACTGCACGACCCTTTGCTGCCCGAGTCATCGAGAGGTTGCCATGCTGGCTGCGACTGAGCCTTGGGAGGCAGGACTGCAGTTAGTTCAGTTAGTACTCTTCCAGCAATTTCGGATCTGTTTCGACAATTGACTTGACTGCGATCGGCGCTGCCCTGCCACGGGCTCAGGCACGCCGGGTTCCGCGACGGCCGGGGCCGAAACAGATGCAGCTCGAGCGGACGTTCGGAGGCGCCGATGTGCTTCTCTGCGTCAGTCTACGTCTATGCTGCTGTGCTATGCAGTGTTGTGTGGCAGGGGGTGGCCCGGGTGGCTTTGATTTCGGAGAGTTCGTTCAGCCATGAGCTCGGCCGAGAGAGAGACGAATCTTCAAAAAGGTTCCTGAGCCTCAGCCAGACTGTCAGTCTGCTTCGTGCTTTCGTGAAAGGAGCCGCAAAAAAGAGGCTCAGGCATACTTTTGGGCCTGCTTTTGCCCTTCAGCCGAGACTTGATGCAGTTGCCATAGCAGGCCCCTTTGCTTGCATCCTCTCCTCCGAGGCAATGTTTCCATCCTGTCGGTTTGAGTGGCACGAAGCCTTGGATCAGGGACCCCGTTCCAGCAGTCCTGGAAGCCGTGCTGAAATTCAAGCAGGAGGCCTTGGGCCATGGGGCTCAAGTCTCAAGGGGCCACAGCTGTCAGAGAGAACACATGCGAATCAGAGCGCACGTCGCTTGGAGGCCTCGGCTTGTGTGCAGAAGTACCTGGCTGAAAGGGCTCTCCCAGCGCGAGAACCAGAAGAAGCCGAGGACTGAGACACCCAGATCTGCAAGTTCTGTGCACGCGCACAGTCTGCAAAGTGGCAGAGTCTGCAGAGCTCAGGCTCCGGGTCCTTCGGGAGCATTGAGCTCGTCGCACTCGAAGACGCTGTCCCAGCTCGTAGGAATTCGCACGGCACTTCAGTTCCTATCGAAGTCTTGCAGACCTACGGTGGGCACATGATTTGCACGGTCCTTTTCAGTTCGTGCAGCGCGTGACAGCCATCCAATCGGCCATCCAACAGATTCGAAACTCAC